GGAAAAATATTATTTTTTATATAGAATTTCATAATTACCTGCAAAAAAATATTTAAAAAGACTATGTGTGATTTTCGTTAACATATCATTTCATATACTATTAATCTTATCTAAGCATATTTATATTGTTAGTTAATCAATAACATTTCCTCATTATATATGTATAAATAATTACAAGTTTTTTTAATTGGTAAATACTTCTATGAATAAACATTCCAAGAAATAACAAGTGATTAATCCCTCATTTCGTCATAACTAAGTAGAAATTGTATCTAAGCTAAATGCAATATATTTTAATCGGTGGTGGAAATAATTCGAAGAGATTAAAGCATAATCTTTTGATTATTAATATTAAAATAAAACATATATAAATTTAAATATTGGTACCCAAACCTTTCATATGGTTATAGAGCTTATTTAAAATCTTTTTTTTTAATAAAAATTGTAATTTTTTAATATAATAAATAATAAATAAATTAATAAATATTTTATTCAAGATTTCAGAAAAACAAAGTACTTTATTATATTACTTTTGTAAATAACTTTCAAATACAAAATTCATTTTAAATTTAATAAATATGGATATTTTCTTCATATTTCTTGATTTCAATGGAATGTATTATCTTAGTGGTACTATTGTGTAAAATATTAGAGCGAAGCTTCAAGTCATTATTCTATCAACTCTAGACTCCTACAAGAAAGTGTGGTGGGTTCATTTTTTTATAAGATATTCACTGCATACATGCTTAACTTGAACCACAAAACCAACACCTTATCAATGCTAGTTTCCTACAAGAGAGTGTGATGGAGCCGTGCTTTGTACAGTTTTCGCTGTGAACGTAGCTATCTCGAACGATATTAACGTTGCAATACAATCAGATAACACAAGAAAGTGTGGTGGGTTCGTTTCCTTATAAGATATTCACTGCATACATGCTTGACTTGAATCACAAAGCCAACTCTTTATTCTATCAATGCTAGTTTTTTTAAGAAAGTATGGTGGAATCGGGCTTTGTGCAGTTTTTTCTGTAAACGTAGCTATCTCGAACGATACTAATGTTACAATGTAAGCAGATAGCACATCAATATAATAATCGATGAAACTCAAGTCAAAACATCTTTTTTTCTGTGGCTGCAGCTGTAGGTGATAGTTAAATTTCAATGAGTAAAATACTATAAAATTTATTTTTACACTTAGAACTGACAGATATGCATAAGTTAATATTAACAATACAGTAATCTATAATAGTTTAAGTTTTTGTAATTATATAGTAGTTGATCTAAATGCAATTGATCATAGTTAAGAAAAGGTAATAAGATAATTATTGTAAAAACGCATTGCAAATAATATAAAATGTTTAGCATATTTATGAAGCAAAATAGAATAAATTAAAATAAATTATAAAAATACTATGGTACTATGTACAATTATAAAATTACAGAAACTGTAGAGTAGTTCTTATTTTTAAAAAATTAAAAAAGTTAGTTATAGTTATTGTCATAATTTTAAAATTTTATTTTCTTTTTTTTTTTGTTTCAAATGTATTTTAAAAATTATGTATAATTATTTTTAGTAATACCTCAAATTTTATTTTAAATTTTCGTGGACTTGGCACTACTAAAGTATGTTCCAACTGTCATTTCAAGATTTTCTACAATAAATACAATCCACAAATGTTTGTAATGTCATCCACAAACAGGTGCTTTGCATAAAAATTTAAAAGAGAAAATGTTAAAGAACATTTTAGAGAATATCTAGCATTCTTACAGATTTCCTGAGAAATATCAGAGAAAATTAGAAAACACCGTCAAATGTTAAGATGATTACAATTTTATGCATAAATGATCTATATAACAAACGGGAGTATTTTAGCATTGCAATTGAATCAGAGCTGAAGCCACTGCCGTCGGTTAAAAGTCGTTTTCTTAGAGACACCAACAATAAAATACTTAGTTTGAAAGGTTTAGAACTGCAAGTCGATGGATATCAAGCATTTTATATATTACGTGAGCTGAGGGAGTTCAACAAATTTCGTCAATTAATATGTACAAATCCTGCATTGGAAAAAGCCGACATTCTATGTATACGCATAATTCAACCAGAAAAAGATGTAATCGATTATAAATGGTTAATAATCCTTATAACTAATTACATTGATCACGATTTATTTTTGTATTTTTATTTTAAAGGAATCATATGTTGTCATACATTTTGTGGGAACATATTGAAATGGAGCACCTCATGTCTTGGTTATCTACGTTAGGAGGAGGCTTTTCAGCGTTAGGAGAACAATTTAGTAAATTTGTATGTTGAACGGTAGATCAAAATAATATATTTCCTAGTATAATAAAACGTTTTTCTAGGCTGAAACAGCAGGTCGGATATCGTTGAAACAACTGTCTATTGGCATGCGCCTTGGTGATCCATTTCTGCAAGCACGATGCAAACTATATTACAGCATATCACTCATACAAACTGGACGTTTAAGGCAAGCAAAACACTTAGTACGTCAGCAATATACATTTGCTAAAACACAAAAAGAGATTGATAGCCGCTTGGTAAAAATGTGCCTAGGTATTTGGCTGCGCATACAGTATGAATACAGAATAAGAATGGAAAAAAAAGCACTGAAGCAAAATCTGCTAGGTGCCGGAGACTCAATTTATGCTATTAAAACAAGCTGAACAATATCGTAAATATATGGTGATAATATTTTACCTGAACGGAACAGGCTGGAGAATTATACAATTTTTATGTTATAGGGATCAAAACTAATTAATTGAAATAGACAAAATAATTTGTAAATTTATTAGGTTTATTAAAAAAATTGTACGAAAGAAATTGGTATATTTTCAATTAGAGTTTTTATTAAAAGAAATCATACACAATTCTTTCTTCAGACTATTGTGAATGAAGGATCTATTAAGTTGGTTAAGGCGTTCGTAACACAGTAAAGATGATATAGAATAAAAAGCAGTTGTAATTGTAGTAGAACATTGGAAGCTGAATAGCAATTGCATAAAAAGAAGACGAGGCATATATCAAAAGCATAGGACAGGATTATTTAGGAAAGTTAGTTTGTGTAATGGGGGGCTACGTGGGTGAAAATAATTTAACCTTCTCAAAGCAAGGGGCAGAAGTATAAATCAATATGGCTTAGATTGTTTGTTTATATTGAGGCAGGTGAGCCAACCGTGCTGTTATTTGATACCATTTGTATGACACTAGTGGAGATTTTGTTCAAAAGCTTTCAATAAGCAACATTCGCTAGCTCTGTATTCAATCTAATTAAGCTACCGTGGGAGTCATCAGCAAATGTAGCTTAATCGCGCATTAAGTATTACTAATAACATATCGGACCTATTCAAAGATATCTGTTTATTTTAGAAAACTATATCCTAGTTTCGAGAAAATTGAATGATAACTTTTTGGATTAACCCAGACAAATAAATTTTTTATGTCAATATCAAAATTATTTCTCAAAATTTGTAATAAAATTTACTTCAATATACGCTTAAAATAAGTAGCTAAATAAATCTAAGATAGCAAACAGTCAGTTTCTAAAAATATGAAGGGTTTTGATCCTTGTTATTCAAGTGTACAGAAGGTAAATTGTCCAATACTTTTTAAGGTTATTGTCTATTTAGTTTTTGTATTGATTTTCTTTATTAATAAATTGACAATGGTATATTTTTTTTACAAATATTATAAGCCTTTGTTTATTGTACATACATATATATATATATTTAAAAAAATTATGTAAAACTTTTTTTGTTGTAGGCCTTTATATATATTTTAAATAAAACAAAAATGTATATGTATATATTGTTAATTTTCATAAGTAAAAATTGTTTGGTTGTTATTAGGTTTAAAGGGCTCTCCACTCTTGCGTGTGTGTATATAATTGAACTGCAGCGTTGCATTGTGAGGTGTTGCATATTGAAGCTTTACAAGTAAAAAAGTTTTTTAGGCAAGTGTACCCATTGGATCCCAGGCGGGTAGTACGATAGGGTCCATATCAAAAACTTTGAGAATTTCTGCTGGTACAAACTTCTTATCAACAACAACTTCAAACCCAAATTCTTTAAACCAATCGGCGGTCATAACTAGATAACCTTTTTCACCACGATCTTCTCCCCAAGAATTTTCTACGCGTAGCTTTGTTGGATTTCCGTCTTTCTGCAAAAAAAATAATTGAATAAAAATTAATATAATACTTGGAAGTTAAAAGAAGTATATATATATAATATATGTGTATAAACAATATATGAATATATAAATAGACTAATTAAAAAGGTATTAGGTTAGTTAAAGTTATTAGTTGTTATTAATAGGCTATTTCATAATTAAATTGTTAAATTCATAATTATGAATTTATTGGCTATTAACAATATTAACATTAATGTTATCATAAAATAATAGAAAATAATAGTAAAATACTTTGATAATCAACTCACATCCACAGACACTGCTGTAAATACCATAGCATGAGTCATTGCTGATTCACCATAAATTAAACGATCTGCTTTCGATAAAGAGTTTTGTATATCGATATCAAACACCAACTTAAAATCGTGTCTAAATCAAAATGATAATGATCAAAATGAAATAATTAATTTTTTGGTCTGATAAAAAATGGTTAACGCTCAACTAACATAAAGAGGTCCTCAATTCCTTGTTTGGGAGCAAATCTTTTGCTAACTTCACAACCAAACCATACTGGCTCTGCGGACTTAAGGCTATCTGTTACAACTTTTAACAAAAGTTCCACTGGTTGATTGTTATATAAAACTGGACGTCCACCAACAACATTTCCTAAGCAATCTACGGTATATGCTTGACTGTACATGCTAGAAGGGCGCGGATCTGTGACCAAGCAAACCTTAAAATAAAAATGAGAACAATTAAATAAGTTTTTTGTTAATTTTTTGTAATGCAATTTACCTTATCTTCAACATTAAAGATTGGTTTGACATGTTGATTATAAAATTCAATTGGGCTAATTGGACCGACTGACTGGTAAGACTTTGTTTTATCATAATATTCCCAGGTGAATGTTTCTGGTGGTATCCCTAAACATATTCCAACAACTTTATAAATTTCTTGCATCATTTGATCAATTTTAGCATTAACGTCTTCCACAGAGGTGTTGGAATCGATCAAACCACGTAATGTTTTGGCATTTTCTCTCAGCTAAAACAAAATTTATTATTTAAATAAGGTAAGAATAAAGTAGTAAAAGCAGAACTAAATTAAGAAATAATAAAAAATTAAAATTAATAATAATAATTAAGGACATGAAAATGATTAATTTTTTAAATAATAATTTAAAAATAAAAAATACACGATTTTTATTTTTATCGTGATATATTTGCTATTCAAAGCAAGTAAATAAATTATATCTATATATAGAATCAACTTTATATGTATTTGTAGTGTATATCTCTTAATATTAATATCTATTAATTTCAAACCGATAATTACCTTGCTTTTTAGAATAGAGTTCATTCGTAAGCTTGCTTCACAGCTGAAGGACTCTGGGAAGCATTTTTTTGGCATTAGTCCATGTTTGGTAATTAAATTGACTAACATATCCCACTGCCCGCCATCAGACGTAGGATCCTAAATTTAAAAAACATACTGTCAATTGATTCATAGATTATAAATAAAAATAATTTATATTATATTAATTAGAGTTAATTTTTTTTAAATTTATTTATTGAAGTAGTTATCAGTCAATCAAGCCATATGTGTACTGCAGTATTTTTTAAGTAAAAGTATTCACTGTGGAGAATACTATGCCCGCCCTATGTTCTTACAAAGAGCGATGTCTTCACCCAAAGTATAATACATAAATACATTGTAATAATAATAAATACATTGTAAAAACACCAAGGAAATAATAATTCACTGTGGAGAAAGCTGTGAAGTTACCTATACTGAAACAGAACGCAAGTCCAAGATAAACATAAGCGTGGATAAGCATGCGGCGATAAAGGAAATAAATTCATATCAGATCGTATTAAGTCCAAAAATATCCTGAAAATACATGGCTACATATCTATTGTATAACAAACCAAAAAGAACTGGATGAACGAAATAATGGATACGATTCTCAAATGTGATGTTCGCAATTGACAAAGACAAAGAAAACGATATACATAAACCACTTAAAAATTCACGCAATGAAATTAAAGAAGTTATGAAAAGGCAGGTTTGTAAGAAATTTTCAAATTTCGGTAAACTCAAATTAGCATTTTTATTTAAGTTTTCATTAACCCCAAGCATAATATTGTTGATTGGTTGCAGTGGCACAACATCAGATAGCATTCTACTGATCTCAATCAGCGATTATTCGCCGTTTGACTACTACAATTCTTGCAAGATTTCGTAAAATAATTTAGATAATTCAATAAGCCTTTCGTCATATCGATGCACATACTGACAAGTAGTCAAATAAGTACTTCTGGAAGCTAAAGCTCTGGCTGTCCAGCTATTTTCAAAGAGAAAATGTATAATAGCTTCTTTTTCCTGCAATTTTCTACAACTTCTGCTAAGTATAACATAGGTAAATACATAAAAACTATTGAAACGTCAGACTTGGAATTAAACTTACTTGCAGTAAAAATGAGACGAGGCGACTATCAACTTTTTCACCTCGATTAGCAGTCAGCACAATGTTGTTTAAGAAATAATTACAGCGTTCTATTTTGTCCCAGTAAAACAAATAACCTTGTGAGAACTCAAATTCATCCAAGTTGAATTGCTTAATAAATGGCAAACGGATGCAATTTAAAGCCGCAAAAAGCCAGCACCTACCGGAACTCTTTTGATTGGTTATTGGTTTACCTTCAGTTTCAACCTATTTATTTATATAGAATAATTTTAAATATTTAATAAGTTTAATTGTGTATGAAATGAGCTTAACTTACCTTGTAATTGAACACATGATTTGTTTGCTCTAATTTTTTTCTGGATAAACACACATCAAATGGATCGACACGGCTGCAAACATTTTGGGCCAGAATATTTTTGGGCTCTTCGTAGAAATCCTTACGCCATTTATCTAGTTTTTGCGGTGTAATAACAGATTGAGTTGCTGGAAATAGAGTTGAGCAACTTGAGTAATTAAAATTCCCAAGAATTTTATTATTTTTTGCAGTTACTGCACATAATTTTCTATAAAATTGTCGACGTACTAAAGAAAGTGAGGCTGGAAATATTTGAGAAAAATTTGGCATGCCAATGGAGACAAAAAATTTTGAATTTACTTTTATATTCGAATTTTATTTTCACAATTTCTTTAAAAAAAATTCTTTACATATTTCAATATTTCAATATTCAATATTTTATAGAATATGACAATATATGAAATTGTTGAATGATGAAAAATCAAATTGTAATAGTAATTAGTAATGAGTAATGTGAGGAGGAGTGCAAAGTGTAAAGTAGGGCGTCTGCAATTAATTTGCAGCGTAAATGCAATTATCGCACATTTGAGGTTTATGGCTGTACTCCTACTCCACCAACGAATGCCTTTTACAATGGTCCATAAAGCAGTAGAATTGCAAGTGCTTGTTAGTATATGTCATATGAAAATGAGAAAAATCATTGGATCGAAGACCGCAAAAGCAAATAAAATTATTTGTTTTCTAGCAACAATAGTCTTGGTGCTTAGTGTACTGTGCTGTGCTGTGCTCTGCTGTGCAATCAGTTGACAAACTTCATCATGACCAAACTGACATGAATGCCTTTATTCAACGTGCTGCTGTATTACAATTGATGCTTGCGAGCAGAATACAGATAAGTTAAGTTTATATAATGCATATATAAAATAGTTATATATTGCATAAAAATGTTTGTCGCTTATTTAGATACATTATATGTAATATTATTGCATTGGCAACAGCAGCAGTTGTGACTACTACTACGCCACTATGAGCAGCAGCACCAACACGTAATCTTATCTGCATGATGAAAGACTTCAGTGTTTGTAATGTAAGCTGAATAATTCAATAAATCTCCCAAGCAATTAAAACAAGTGCATTTGATGGCAATTATACGGGTAAGTGAGACAAATCAGTTGCATCTGCATATGATCAGAATTCTTCTACTGCTAATAAGCGCTCTAACAATAGATCTGCACAAGTAGTTTTACCAAGAATAGAGAAATGAAAATATTATAATTATTAAATTTTTATATATTATTTATATATTATAAATATTTTTATGTTCTGTAAATAATTCTGTAAAATAATAATGTAAGGTCAACATCTCTTTGTGATTATAGTTTTGGTTTATTTATTACTAAAGACCAATCTATCAATTCAACAATTCCAACATGTAAACATACTACACTGAATTTTTTGTTTTGATTGATCTCTTTATGTATATTTTTAAAAACCAAACCATCAATTCAACACAAAATTTTTTACTGTCTTTAGAACAAAGAATTTTTGAATGATCCATTATAGAAAAATAATCATTGCGTTTATTCACTACATATCCAAAAACAAAGCAATTAGAATTGGAGACAAATGTGGAAGATATTGGAATATAGAATACAGGATAGAATAATTAAGTCTAGTCAATAGTCAAATGAATATTTATATATACTCCAAAAGGTAAGGAAACAAATAACCAAGATTAGAACAATGATCACTGCTAAGTATTTAAAAATATATGTAGATATTGATGAAGTAAAATAATCAAATTTAATTCAAATTCAAATTGATTAACACTACAATTGATTCCAACTCATTTTAACTACACTCTCACTGCGATAGACATGAAACGAGTTCAGTACCTTCATTCGACTATCATTGAATCGAATGAGTTCTGGGATCTACAAATAATTTGATTTGTCAACAGTTTCAAATTGTCTAGGGTAACTTAGGAGACTCTCTACAGGGTTAGCATAATAGATTTTATAGGTAGCAGTATACCATTGTCCCTTCTAAGTATAGGTAGGTAAAGAAATACTGTGATATTAAAAATCGCGCCCAAACCTCTAAAAAAATATGAAGATTATTTTACTTTGGTTCCAGAAGCGATTCGCCAATCACAAGCAAAATTATTTAGTACCTCACATAACAATAAGAACACGTAATATGAAAAAGATAACTTCAATATTTAACCTAAAAATTGGTTAATATGTTATACAGATTAGATAAAGATACAGAAATAGTTCCAAGATTAAAGTAGAAGGTAAAGCTATTA